GCTACATTGGGATTGAACCGTGCACGACATTCGGAGATCAGACTTGGGTTGGACTTGGTTACCTCCTATGTCCCTCCCCCCTTCTCTCTCGCATGTCTATGGATCTCTCCCTATGTGAGTGAGCGGAAGGGCAATCTTCCTAATGTCCTGCCCTTCCGAAGTTTCTCCCTTTCCTGTTGTTGTCCACGTGTCCTCTTGGTTACTATTATTCCGCTGCGCTGTTCCCCAGCCCATGATGATGATGATGCAAATGTGTTGTTGTTGTTTTTTTTCTCACTGGTTTACTTGTTGCATTGTGCACATTGACATCTGGTGAATGTTGCATCTATGCTGCTGGTTGTTGCCACTTTCATCATTGCTAGATCCTAGGCTGTTAGTGCATTTCACTTTCTGATATGCTACATCTGGTCTACATTGCATGCTGATGTGGCGCTACCTCTGGTCTACATTGCACGCGGATGTGGCGCTACCTCTGGTCTTCATTGCTGATGTGACATATGCCACCTATCTCGACTGCTGACGTGGCACTGTCCACGCTGTCTACATGAGGTGACTGGTTGCGTGGAGGAGGAAGATCGGGATCTGTGGATGAAGGAGGTCGGGTACTCACCTGAGATTGACGTCGACACTGGAATCTGCTATGTCTTCATGGTCTTCACGAGATAAAGTGCCATGTGGCACTACTGTGTGTAATCAGGAATGTACTTATTGTCATTGTTGATGAGGAGAGGGAAGAAGCCCGGAGAAGGAGAGGGATCTGAAGGATTATTATTGTGTGATCTTTCATCTTCTCCTTTGTCTGTTCCCCCTCCACTCTCTTCTTTGATGATAATGAGATACTGTTGAGATTTCACTTCACGATGTGGAGACTTTGATGCAGTTAATGTAACTACTGATGTTTGATGACTTCTGAGTATCTGCCAGACTGGGTTCATTACACTTGCTGCTTCCATGTGTATATGTGCTGCTGTGTGCCTTGCTGTGTTGGTGTCCCTCACACATGCTCGCCCGCTTGATTTACTATGTGCTGCCTAGGGTTATTTCGTTGAGTCCTTTGCTGTGCTGTTGCATGCCCACCCTCCCGCCTGCCTGCCCATCCCCTTGCCTTGCTAACTGCCGCTATGCTGTGATACTATGTTGCCTTGTCCCTGCTGTGCTGGATGCTTTGCTATGCTTGCCCATTTGCATCGGGTTCGAACCTTGGCAATGCCCAAAGCATTCTGAGGGGATCCAGCAGACTGTCGTTAGTGCAAGTCCAACGAAACACTCAGTCACTACTGTGTTTGTTGGTGATGCATAGTCATGTCCTACGTCCCATCAGTGCCTACCCCCGTTCATGAACAAGGAGTTCTGTGGCTGGGGTTTGCCCATCCAAGAGAGAGAGAGAGAGAGAGAGAGAGAGAGAGAGAGAGAGAGAGAGAGAGAGAGAGAGAGAGAGAGAGAGAGAGAGAGAGAGAGAGAG